TCGGCATTGCAAAATTCTATCTTGATTCTAGGACGACATCACCTGGAGATTCAAAAACTATAAGCTCAACCGGTGTGAAGGGTACTATCGGCTACATACCTCCAGGTACTATCGGCATTGGAAAATTCTATCTTAATTCTAGGCAGTATACTTCGAGTGTGCACTAATTCAATGTATCTTCAGAATAAGCTCGAGGTGGTCACGCATCAACATGTGGGGATGTTTACAGTTTTGGAATAGTACTTCTAGAGATGCTGACAGGGAAAAGGCCAACAGATCATTTGTTTGTGGATGAACTAAACATTCTTAACTTCGTGGAGAGGAGCTTCCCTGATAAAATATTGGATGTGACTGATGGTTCCTTACAAGATGGCGTCAAGAGTGCCCAGATAAATATGGTAACAGCAAATGAGGACTACCAATGCTTGCTTTCTCTACTACAAGTAGCACTTTCTTTCACACGAGAAATTCCTGCTGAACGAACGACCATGAAAGATGCAGCTAGCAGAATTCGTTCAATCAAGACCACGTATGCCGGAGGAGAACGCAAACATACATTGAACTCAAACCATCAGTATACCGTGCCCATGCTAGCTACACAACACATATCTTGATATTCTACTGGTATATGCACTTAAAAAGAAACAAGAATATTTAGATTAGCATTCATCGCATTGCACCAAATTGTTATGGAATTTCCATTTATATTACTAGTCCATCAACTCATGCTCTTGCATGGGCTAGAGTTTTAGGAGATGTAAGTATTACTTATTGTTTTATGCAACTGACTAATAAAGAATTACTTACATTAAATTGTAGGTTTTTTGTTTTTGTTTATTTTCGAACACAATAGACATAATAGATCCTTTGTAGTCTGTATCATAAATTTATTAATTACTATTATTAGTTCAAGGGACTAATCTTTATATTTTTTCCATCCATATTCATATTTTACTTCTGCATGGCACCTATATATATTTTAAATATGCAATTAGTTTGAAAACTTACCATTAAGTATGGTGGATCTTGTTGCATCACATATCTTATGAAGTCATGAATCTAAATTTAGTTTTTTCAAATTTTATTCTTATTGACTGCTCCAGATTAAGTTAAATTGAAACTCTTGTGCTTATTATATCTTTCATTATTAACTCTCCTTTTTGCACTTTTGTAAAATAAGGAAAAGCATAAGCCATCATTTAAAACATACACCATGTCGCTTAAGATAACTCACAGAGCTTCAACTGAGATCTGGATAGGGATAGTTACTAATAAAGTTTTAAACAATTTTGTGTCATTAGTATATGAGTTGTCAAGGTAATATTTTTTATGTGACGAAACATAACATAGATATTTGTTGGTCATGCATGTTGGCATGACCCATATTTTACTATATTAATATTGATTGAGGTGGATAATGTAGAAACATATATATGCTCTATGGTTATTTGAACAATTTTCTTCTAATAGAAGATGTCGATAATTAAGATGTGGATTAAGGGGTACTTCATTTTGCTAATAATGAGATTAAAATTTAGCTATGTAAATTATTGATCATAACATAACATCAGAGAACACGGAAGCATCAACAATGACAAAATTAAGACGTTAACCATAAGCTCCATGACAAAAGGATAAAAAGAAATATCCAACTAAGACCATCATAACAATTAAAACACATGGGTTTATTTTTAGTGTATATCAACAAGTGTGTACTCATGCTGCTACTTTCATCGTCCCAAGCAGCCTCGAAGCTATGCACCTGAGATAAGGGACACAAGCATGAGAGGTTTATGGAAAACCTAAGCAAGCAAACTGCTTTAACAAAGCCATTCAAACCACATCTTGATTAAACATCACATTTAAGTAGATGATAACAAAACAACAAATACTTCACAAGTTGTACTTCGTTGTGCAAAATGCAATTGTCTAATGCAATGTATGACTTCACTTCTACCCACACATCCCAAAGAGAGGGAGTGAAGACTGCAACGACATTGCTCATTTCATCATGCGTTGTTGTATCGATGCTTACCGCACCAATCCGGCTACGGTTTGTTCAAATTCATCTCTAAGGGAAAAGTGCAAATGCAATGCTGCAATATGTGCACTTCACATACTTCATACTTCATAATTCATAATTTCGAGAGTAAAATACCACAAGCTATGGAAAAAATACTTCAAAGTAAGTAATAACTTCATATTTAGATTATCTGGCTAGTATGAGTAATTGAAATTTGGTGGAGGTCATTCAAACAACGAGGTCAAAGCATGTGGATCATAGCGCCACATTTACTTGCCTTAACCGAAGATCAGGATTATGAGCTAAGAACGATCCGAAGGTGCCCCACCTAATCACAAGCGAACCTCAATACCAATACCATCATATAATCAATTCAAGCATCTACCATTCCACTACGGTGCGAGATAGTAGCACTGTTCCTTCTCTTTTTAATACACTTTTAACCACACATCCGAAAATTCTCAAAATTTACCGGATGATAGAAAACTCCATTTTCTACAACTTTGGTCTAACTATAGTGGTCCCTGCTTAGGGGTGGGTTGGGGAGGCTGGGGATGAGGAAAGTGTCGACTTGGAACGTCTCACCATCGATGCGAAGTGGAACAGTGAAGTAGGCTCCTCGGCAGGATAGCTTCGTGCCACTACCAATGAGCATGGTAGTGGTGATGCGGCACTCGGCGAGGCCGACGGTACGGGCAGGGCTGTAGTCGATGACGTTGTGCGTGGTGCTGGTGTCGTCGAGGATGCAGACGCCCTAGCCAAGGATGGCTCCCGCCAGGAGCATGGTGCGTCCTCCGCGCACCCCTTAGTTGGGGGCGCCTGTGAGTATCAACAAGCGAGGCTCAATGTCAGTACCGTTGTCATCGTCATCGCTGTCGATGATGATCCGCGATGCAAACCAAGGCTCTGTAGCAGAGTTCTCGGTTTCGCTCCTCATTGGTTCCGTTGTTGGGGGAATCATGGTGAACAACTTGCTTGCCACGGTATCCACGATATCGAGAGGCGTGATGGTGATGGGCACCTCCTACATCCACTTGAGGAAGGCATGACCAGCGTCCTCCATGACACGCATGGTCTCCTTCTCGAGCTCCGCTGTTGTGTTCTCCTGAAGCTTGGGGCAGCGTTGGCGTTCGATGTCGGTGAGGCGGAGGTCGAGCTTGGTGGGCTTCATGCTGAGCTCATCGAAGCGGTTGCCCATATTGACGGAGAAGATGCTTAGCATCCTCTTCATCTCAGCGGTCATGGTGGTGGTGGCGGAGGCCATAGGATCGATCTGGTCTCCTGATACTAGGTGTTGTGGTCCCTGCTCGGGGTGGGTTGGGGTGGCTGGCTAGGGTTGGGCACGCAGGGGCGCCCTCGGCCGGCACCGTTGCCCCGCTTTGGGTCTTGGCCGTCCCATTTGGTCCGCTGGGGAGGGCCCTTCTTAGGACCATGACACAATTTGGCATATAAGATCTCCAAGATGGCATAAACAACCTTCGAACTTAGCTGGACTTTTCTGATGATCATAACCGAATAACAAACTCATAAAATTCATAAGTAGATATATACCCATCCAAAAAATGTGTTCTTTACCAACCTATGTTTATATTTAGATCAAAAGTTTAAATTCTTTCGTTACTAACACCAAAAACTGATTGGATCTAACACTGTCCAAAATCTCATCACCGAAAAACAATCTTCCTAAAATGAGAATGAACAGGAATTGCACAATCTAACAGGATTTCACAACGTGGACGCGATTAATTTCGGGAATTACTCCAACTAAACCTCTTCTAATTAGATGATTGGACCAACAAAACTTGACCGAAAAAATTGGATTAGGATTTGGCATCTCACTCAGGGCGGCCACAGCAAGCACGGTGACAAGCCTCAACGATCCTCTCCTTCCTTACTTTTCTCCACTTCACGACGATCCTCGCCACTACGATCGTCCTGCCATTTTGATCAACGCATGAACATGTTGTGGCCAACATGAATAGGGAGGGAGAGAAAATAAATTAAGGGCAAAAATAGAGAGAAGATAATGCCTAATCAGTTATTACGGAGGAAGAACGAACACTATAAATGAGGGCAGAAAACCTTAACCCCTGTCTTCCTGTATCTCCCTTCCCTTCTTTCTCTCTGTCTCATGTACGTGAAAGAGATGGGCGGTGGCATAGGAGACCGGCCTCACGAGAAAACCTCACGCCACCATCCAGGAGATGGACTCGATCATGATCAAAGGAGGCCCACTTGCATTACTGTAGCATGCTGCATTCCCTTTTTTGGTTTGAAAATAGAGAAGAACATATATAGCTCTGTCATCTGAATCTGATTGATGCGAATAAGTAGTCAAACAAAAAGCATTCAACGAGCTCTACGCATCGGTGGTCTCCGTTTGTATATCCAATAAGCAACAGATCAAAAAGTTAATTATTGATCTATGTTTACAGTATCTAGTCAACCTTCAAAAAAAATTTATTCCATCTGAAAGTCCATATTTGTGCCTTATGTAATCCTGGATGCTACAATACCGGTACGATTAAGTTTCAGCATCATTTTGAGTAATAGCACATTAGTTAGTGATGCCAAGCATATTGATTAAATATTGTGTTGTGAAGAAAGAACCCAGGATCAATTTATTAAGCTTGAGAAACTAAATACTAAACTAATGCTAGTGACAGTGAAAATGGTATCAGACCTGGCGGTGATGAATTCTATGTGGTAGTGTTGGTCAGGTATCTACATAGGCGCCAACTAATTTTAGCCGACTAACAATTAACCCTAGCCATTAACCAGCTAATAAATAGTTATAGCTCATGCAAACAGATACTGACAAATGGAGTGATATATATAAGATATGACAGTAGCACGTGATACAAACGAACAAACAACAATCACAAGCACACCATCACACGGTACTAAAAAATGATACAAGAACAAATAGCCAAATTCCAGCTAGGCACTCTCGCTTCCATTGCATGGCCGTGGTGCCTCACTCATGCAGACTAGCGTACGTCAGGAAGCTGTAGTAGTCTCTGGCCTTCCTCTCCACCGGCGCCGCTGCATTCGTGGAAGCTGCGGCAGGGCACGACACCTGAGTGCTCACCTCCGGGCACTTCTTTGGCTGGCTCTGGAACGCCACGCACTCCGCCGGTCGCCTCTGGTTTGCAAAGCCCGGAATGCAGTTGTTGTTCACGTCCAGTACGCGGTCTTTGATTAGCGCTGTGCATGCCGGCCCGACTGAGGTGAAGTAGTTGCCACGCAGCGTGAGGTTGCCCAGGCGGCCAGCCTGCCCAGCAAGCCTGCAGAGAGTGTCAGGAACACGTCCGTAGAGGCGGTTCCCGGCGAGGTTGAGCTGCTCGACTCTGCTAAGGCAGGAAAATGATGAAGGGATTGGGCCCGTGAGCTGGTTCTTGCCGGCGTCGATCACGGCTGCCTTGTTCAGCATGCCGAGCTCGCGAGGGAGGCAGCCGGAGAGCTGGTTGTTCAGGAGTACAATCTCGAGGAGGGTGTCGTGCAGGTGCCCGACTGATGTTGGAATTGGCCCGGTGAGTTTGTTGTTGGCGAGGGCGAGGTAACTCAACTTGGAGAAGCCGAAGTCCGTGGGAAGGGGCCCAGAGATGTCTTCACTGTTATGGATGAACGCCCTAGCGTTCGTCGCACCGGCGATAGCTACTAGGGATACGCTGTTGCCTCGTGGGGGCTTGGCACCCACACATAACTGTAGTAAGTTGTCGAGACCAACGCACGTTCTCTTGAAATCTATAGTTTGGGATGAAGCAAGCAGTGGGAGCGTCAGAGTAGAAAATGCTACTAGTGCAGCAGTGTAAGGTAGAAGGATTAAGAGGTTTTGGGTCAAATGCCACTTGGGGTGGCTAGCCATGCTTTCTCTCTAGTTGTTATGAAACGACTCAACGCGGCTGGTCGAACAGAGAGATGATGCCATGGTGTATATATAGCGAGCATGTATGCTTTCTTCCGCTGTATATACACACACAGTTATATGATTGTACTATTCACAACCTAAACGTACTACGAAAAGGGAATATCGTCGTCTACTGCAGAGTAATTTATTTGACGGGGAATCATCAAACACATAATGAAAATACTCCTCCCGTCTGATCCCAATCCATCCACCATCCATTTTCACCATGTTCGCTTGATCGTATCAACCATGTTTATCAGCCATGATACAGTGTTTTTCTCTCACAACAAAACAGCATCAGCCGGCTTATAAGTCACAGAAACGATGAAATGACAGTCCGGAGATGTCTGGGTTTTAGGCATCGGACGTCGCAACTTGCTCGAAACCCAATCAATTTTTTTATCACAGCCTATACATGCGATGAAATGACACCTCGACAAGTTTCGTGAATTTCGGACTTCGTTTCCATTTTATATAATTTAAAAATACTTTACACGCAAGTTCCTCGCCGTGTTCTGTGAAAACGATGCGCCAAATTTGGCATCTGGCACTGGATACGGTCTCACACCACATGCAATACCATGAATATGATTTTTTGAATCACTCAATTCCAATATTCGATGCACCTGCAGTTCAAATATGAATTACCGGGAAGAATTCAAGTAAATGAAATAAACTTATTAAATATAGCTAATAAAATAAAAAAAGCTCCAAATTTTAAATATGTCTTTTAAATATTATTGTTAGCCACCAGAAAAAAATTGGGAAAAAAACAAAAAAAAATTTGTATTTGCCGAGAGCCTCAAAGGGCTCTCGACAAAAAGTTTTTTTTAAAAAAAAAACTTTGCCGAGAGCCCGGATCTGGGCCCTCGGCAAAGGCCCAGTCCACATAAACCACTCACGGCCCACTCAGCCTTTCCTCTCGCCTCTCCTGCTCAGCCCCTCCCTTCCTCTCCTTGCCCCCGGTCCCCGTCTTGTGCTTGCAGCCTCTCCCGCCTTCGCCCACCACCACGCCCATCCGTGAGCCCGCCTCCCCATCCCACATGTGGGAGGCCTTCCCCAATCCCTTTTGCCCAAGACCAGAGCCGGCCAGCCCACTGCCGAGCGCCGTCGTCGTCGGGGCCGCGTCGTCCCGCCTCACACCCGGTGGTCGAACCTGCTTGCCGCCCCCAGCCACGCCGCTGCCGGTGGTCCCCCACGCCAGCAAGATCCCCACGGCCGGGCCCACACCCTCGGCCACGCCCGCTGGTGGCCCACCCTCATGACAGCCCGTCCCCCGGGCCGGCCCCACGTGCCCCTGACCCACGCCACCGGTGGCCCACCCCATGCCAGCCAGCGGCCCCCTCGCCCCGTCCGCCCCGCGGCCGTGTAGAGAGCATTTCGAGGAGGAAGGAGAAGAGAGGAGAAGGAGAAGGGGAGAAGAAGAGGAGGGGAGAAGGGAGGAGGAGGGAGAAGAGGAGGAGAAGGAGGAGGGAGAGGAGAAGGAGAGCAGGGAGAAGAGGAAGGGAGAAGAGAGGAGGGGAGGAGGGGAGAAGGAGAGGCCGACGACCGTCACGCCCCCGCGTCGTCGCGTCACGCCGAGCGGTCGTCGCCGTTTTCCCCGCGTCTAGCCAAAGACGAGGGTGATCCCGACTCCGCGTCGCCCGACTACACTGCCACCCAAGGTAAAGCCCCTCCCTTTGTTCTTGGCCTTCGTGCCATTTCTAGATTAGTGGGCCTTCGTGCCTTTTGTGGATGTGTTGGCCATCGTGCCATATGTCATTGTCACGACCATCGTGCAAGTTGTGGATGTGGGCCATCGTGGCTGTCTTTTTCCTTAGAGTTTGGAAGCCTCCCGCACAGGGAGGTTCTCATAAAATTTTGAACTTATAAATTGTGTTTCTTGTTTTGCGAGAGAAGAGCCCGACGGAGGGGACCCGAGTACCCCGAAGCGCCTTCCTTTGTGTCTCGCCACACGCGTCACCTCTCCACTCCACCGCCACCCTAGGTATAAGCCCTTTGTCCGTAACCCTAGCTAGATCGCGTAAACCAGTTAGGCGTCTCCCGTCCGAAAGAGATACGGTCGTAGGTATGCGGATCTCTGCATATCTGCGACCGTATCTGTTTTGGATTGTCCACGTTATCTGGACAGCCCGCGGATGCGTAGATGATTTAGTTTGTATGGTCCGGTCTGGTCCGAGATGGGGTTTCGGCAGCACCTCCCTGTTGTTCTCCGGATACACACTCTCCCTTCCAGGACATGTATCGGGAGAACAGCGGGGATGTGCTGCCAAAATTCTATCTCGGATTGGAGCGCCGCATCGAAGGACCACAAATACCGGAGTTATGACGCCCGGAACTGATGGCAAGGACTATTATGGGATACTTGAAGAAATATACGAACTCTAGTTTCGTGGAGCCGAACCTTTTAGTCCTGTCATATTCAAATGCCGGTGGTTTGATCCTGAGGTATCGAGACAGTACCCTCATCTTGGGCTAGTCGAGACTCGACAGGATTCCGTCTATGAAGGTGATGATGTATGGATTGTGGCCACACAAGCCAAGCAAGTCTATTATAGTCCATATGCTTGCCAAACCGAGGAAAACCTTAAGGGTTGGTATGTTGTTCACACAATATCGCCGCACGGTAGACTACCTCTCCCAAACGATGAAGATTACAACTTGAACCCAGAAACACATGACGGAGAGTTCTATCAACACGAAGAGGGGCTACAAGGGAGCTTTGAGATAGACTTAACCGGGCTAGTCGAAATGGAGACAGACATCGAAAGGGTTGTGGACGAGGACTCTGGAGATGAGGTGGAAAATCCAAAGGACATAGTGTTCCTTGACCGATTACACTTAGGTGTTGATAGTGATGATGAGGAGGCGGATGAAGATTTGGACATGGTTGATAGCGATGACGATATGTACAATCCAACTAATCCCGATCGTGGAGATCGTTTCTAATACATGTAATATTATCTATTTTTGTAATTATATTCATTTTGCATGTAATTATCTTCATTTTGCATCTCTTTCTAATTATGTATCGTTTATATATGCTAATTGTTTTATTCTTTTTTAATGCAGGAGATGCCACCCAGGAGGTCCGTCCAGTCTCTTTACGCCAGCTAGGAGGAGCCGGAGGCGTCGGTTCAGCCTCCGGAGCCGGTGCCGAGGCGGAGGAGCCACAGGCGTCCGAGTAGGACGCAGCCGACTACCCCTCCGGCCGTGGAGGAGCCTGCGACCGTGGAGGAGCCTGTCGCCGCGATGGAGCATGTGGATGCAGGGTGGTCCTCCTCCACCTCAGGGGATGAGGCTACTGCAGGGGACGAGGTGACTGCAGGGGATCCACTTCCTCTGGTGTGTCGATGGTGTACTTGCGTGGTCCCGCGAAGCTCCCGCATCGACCAATACCTGAAGCGGCCCGCCCGCTGATCACACCCTATGGGGATAGGTAAGTAACTTAAGATGTGCTCGAAACTTCTTCATTTGAAATGTTGAAAATCAAAATACAAACTAATACCTTTTGTAATCACTTGTGCAGGAACTGGAAACTTGTGGAGACTGGAGCCAAGGCACGCAAAGTGAATGGCATCCTAGGAGGTCTGTGCAGGGAGCACTACCCTGGCCTGGTGGAGGTGAGCCCAGACATGTTCGAGCCGGCCACTCAATTCGACCACTACGAATTGGCCACCGATGCCATGGATCGTAGTGGCCACAGATACAGGAACAAGGCGGAGCGGGTCGTCAGGGACCTGTCGGTAAGTCTTTCAGGCACACATTGTATTCTTTTAGCCACATATACATCGCATTCATTGGGCATTCTTCTAATAAGTAATTGATACCTCGCGCCTTTATGCAGGATTTCTTTAGAATCGAGGAGGGCAAGGAGCACAGGGCATACCAGGTGGCGGTCGCTTCTTGTAAGAAGCGCGTCACGGACATGATTCACGACGCGCGTCATCAGGCGCACATTTGGCACTACGCGAAGGTCAAAGGGCGTAGCATCAAAAAGGACGAGGCAAGACAGGTGGTGCTGACCAAGGAGGAGTACCTTGCGGTAAATACAGAACATTACTATTGATTTCTTCTGAGATTAAGTTTCCTTAATTTGATCTTCTGATATATCGTTTGCTTGATGGCCTGTAGGCAATTCCAAACTGGTGCAATTGGCATCCGGATGCCTGGGAGAGGATTGTGGACATGTGGCTCAGCCAGGACTGGAAGAAGGAGCATGATGAAGCACGCGAGCGCCGTTTGCTGATGCAAGGAGTACCACACCATCAAGGCAGCCGCAACATCTCCGAATTCTCAGAAGCTTGGGTAAGGCGAAACCATTTCTCTAACCTAACACTCAATTCTGCAACAACTCTAACAATGTTATTGTCTTTCTCGCAGTCGGCGTCACATGGTGGCCGCCCTTGTGGTCACCTCAAGGCATATGCCTTCTCCCACTTGGGCAAGGCGACGACCGCCACCGACTGGACCCCGGAAGTTTCTGCCGAGTCATTTACCAACGCCAGCATTGCCCCTCGCATCTCTACGTACACAGAGATGGCAAGGTCAGTCCATGGGCCAGACTACGACCCGACCACCAAGGAGCGGCTTGATCCAGAGCTCGTGATGAGGGTGGGGCAAGGCAAGAAGCACGGGCGGTTCTAGCTTGGCGACGGTGTCCTCGACACGACCTCTGTTCCTCGGCTGCACTAGATCCGAGCAGCGAGCACGAGCTCAATGCCAACCATACGCTAGCGCCCGACCGTGGTGTCGACACTCCAGGTAAGTGTTCTCTTCCATTCCTAGTTCTTTGACTTTTACATTCCTTAGCTCCGCAATCTTGAAACATTGGCGTCAAATGTTGCAGGCACAGCTGCAGGCGATGGAGGCCGAGCGGGAGCAGTAGCGGCAGAGGCTGGCAGCTTTGGAGGCCGAGCAGGAGCTCGAGCGACAGAGGCTGGCAGCTTTAGAGGCCA